CCTGCTCAGGTGCAAACCTGGTCACTGGCTGCCTTGCGTGAGTACTTTTTCCCAATAAACTGCCATTTATCAACCTATCTCTGACTCCACTTTGCAAACGTCTATATCTGGTGTCACAAGTGGGGTTCTATACAGACCTGCGACAGGACAGCTGAGATTAACTGGCAAACCGGGACAGGCTGATTAACATTTGAGCTGGCCTGCCTAGCAGTGTATTGATCCTGATGAACACCTCTCGTATTGGGTATGGCATGTGGAATCGTCTGTCACATTCGTCACACTTTCTGAAGGAAGTTCTGTGACAATAAGGCTAGGAGTATCACGCATAAGCTCCACTGTGACTGAGGTCCATTCATAGTTCTCTTTACGTCATTCCCTGCCTTCTCTTTGCAGGTGTGTGACTCTGATACCATGCTTGACCCTGCCTCATCTGTGGAGATGGTGAAAGTCTTAGAAGAAGACCCTATGGTTGGAGGTGTTGGGGGTGATGTCCAGGTACACGTGGCTTCATTGTTTTTGTATGAAATAGTTTTTAATAACACTCATATATTGATTCATTGGATGTTTATTGGTTTGATGTTCTGTGATCTTAGTGCTGGGCAATTATGAGAACATTCATCAAATAAATTTTAATCCTGATTTTCTTATCTAACTTGAAATAACTTGGGATATCTGTTTTTAGTCCTGGTGTAAAACATGTATTCACAGGGACTGATAAGTTACATGTACCACAAATGAATGGATCAATAGTGATTTCCACCAAGCACTCTCAGGCCACAACTTAATATCCAATACCCTGCTAAAATCTGATATTGCAGTTAATTAGGAACAGAAGTAACGAAATGGAAGTATATTCAGTCATGGGTGATATATTGTATACTTCTGCATTTAGAAATCTGGCTACTCTGTGGTAGGTTAAAATTACAGAAAGACAAATCTGAAGAGATAACTGAAGTGTTAAGAGCATTTATTGCCTTTGCAGAGAACCCAGCTTCTCTCAGCATCCTGCACACACAGGATGGCTCACAACCATTATAGCTCCAATTCCAAGAACTCTGTTGCCACTTTCTGGTCTTTGTGGGCACTGCATACATAGAATGTACATACTGACAGACAGGAGAAACACTCATACACATACCATTTTAAAAAATATAGACTGATAAACACAGGAGAAAAAGAGAAATAGCAATTTGAATTTACACCAGTAAGAATAGACAAAGACACAATTAGTAAGTGGCCCATCATTTATTAGCAATGGAGAAGCAATTACTAATGACAGAAATTTAAGTATGTGGAAATATGTAAAGGTTAAATCAGAGTCCCTTAAAAGTATGGTATTCAATTTTGATGCCAGATGAGAAGTAGAAAAACAATAAACCTCAAAATGGACATTGGTATTTTGTGATGCATTGGTATTTTTGGTATGTATACATGCTATTAAAGGTGATAATGAGATATCATACTAGGAAAAAATACCTTGGTGATAGAAATAATGAGAGAGGCATATGAAATTCAGATAGATTAATTATTTGGGGGAGTCTTTTCTCCCTGCCATTATTAAATGGAGAAGGAAAATGAACAGATAAGGATTGGAAACATGGAAGTTAACCAGAGCAGAAGCACCTAGGACCTTAAACCCTCCGATATGAGATAGTAAATACAAAAGCACATCTGGGGAAATTTAGGGACTGGTGATTGATGCTTAAAAATATAACTCAACAATAGTGCCCAACAGAAGAATATAGCAAGAAGATGAGAATAATGAAATAGGAAAAATATCCATTAATATATAGACACATGCGCCCAACCAATCATCTTATTTCATAATATAAAACCAGAGAAGACAAGATAAAGGACGTGCAGGAAGAGGAGAGAAATCAAAATGGAGTCACGGAAGAACAGATCTCATGCTAGGCAGTGATCTCAGGATGCTTTGGGGCTTCTTGGTATTGTTAGGCTAAAGCTAACTTTTATGTATTTATTTATTTATTCATTCATTTATTCATTTCCACTTGCAGATCTTAAACAAGTATGACTCCTGGATCTCCTTCCTCAGCAGTGTCAGATACTGGATGGCTTTTAACATAGAGAGGGCCTGCCAGTCTTATTTCGGGTGTGTCCAGTGCATAAGCGGTCCTCTGGGAATGTACAGAAACTCCTTACTGCATGAGTTTGTAGAAGACTGGTACAACCAGGAATTCATGGGCAACCAATGCAGTTTTGGTGACGATAGGCATCTTACCAACCGGGTGCTGAGTCTGGGCTATGCAACAAAGTACACAGCTCGGTCCAAGTGCCTTACGGAAACACCTATAGAGTATCTCAGATGGCTGAACCAGCAGACGCGTTGGAGCAAGTCTTACTTTCGAGAGTGGCTGTACAATGCCATGTGGTTTCACAAGCATCACTTGTGGATGACGTATGAAGCTGTTATCACTGGATTCTTTCCTTTCTTTCTCATTGCCACCGTCATCCAGCTCTTCTACCGGGGTAAAATCTGGAACATCCTCCTCTTCCTGTTAACTGTCCAGCTAGTGGGGCTCATCAAGTCATCTTTTGCCAGCTGCCTTAGAGGAAATATCGTTATGGTCTTCATGTCTCTCTATTCAGTGTTATACATGTCAAGTCTACTTCCTGCCAAGATGTTTGCAATTGCAACCATAAACAAAGCTGGGTGGGGTACATCCGGAAGGAAGACCATTGTGGTCAATTTCATAGGGCTTATCCCAGTGTCCGTGTGGTTTACAATCCTTCTAGGTGGTGTGATTTTCACCATTTATAAGGAATCGAAAAAGCCATTTTCCGAATCCAAACAGACTGTTCTCATTGTGGGAACCTTGATCTATGCATGCTACTGGGTCATGCTTTTGACTCTGTATGTGGTTCTGATCAATAAGTGTGGCAGGCGGAAGAAGGGACAGCAGTACGACATGGTGCTTGACGTATGATCACACGATGATGTTTGCAGTCACACATGGGGACACACACACACA